AAATAATTGATTTTTCAGTTTTATAACTATAACATTTTACTATTATTATTATCATTATTATTCTTATTATTACAGGTGTATATATACACTACTGTATATCGCCACCGTCCTTCTAACGGCAAATATTATTAAAAACTATCATTATNCAAAACATCATCCTATTGAATAAATTCAATTGTTTATGATTCAGAAAATCTCAATTGAGTTTTATTCATCCAAATAACCCGCACTAGAATCGCGCGCATGCGCGTCGAATGCTCTGCCGCGATGTTGCCCAGTCTTGCTGCCGTTTCCACATAACCAAGTATCTATTCCAAAAAAATTCTGTGGTTTTTCAATAATAACTAAATAACTAAGAGATAAAACATGATGAAATTTCATGAGTAAAGAGTTCAAACATAAGCAGTGAGATAGGTGCAGAGTCTCGACACCCAGCACATTGTCCATGCTAGCTTTTTGTTGTTTTGAGGCGGTGTCTATCCACCCTGTGCATTACCATTATTTTTTATTTTTTGAGTTTATTATCCACATGATAAACCTATTCCGGATTCTGAGAATTAATTTAGAACTACTTGAATATCATACTATCCAATTCTCCACATTGTAGCACATTTCCTAATTTTTATGAAAATTACTGAGGAGACTCCTTAATAGATGATTAAAATTTGAAACTCGGTGGAGAGAATAAATCTGGAGTAGAACTGTTTATTTCCCTTCAATTGTTGACTCAAAAAATGTTCCATCTTATGAAAAATAAATCAGTTCAATTGAATTGAAAAGATTAAATTTCACCGGATGTAAAAACAGTCCTTGCTTATTTTGAAAAAAATAATGAAATCTGCCTAAAAATACAAAAATGAATGTTTTTGTAAAAAAACTGGGCCAAGAAAAAATTTTGTTTGATTCCTACTGGGAAATCGAAGTTTTTGAATAATACATAGAAATAAAAAAGGAAGCCAAGTTAAGAATTTTGAATGAATAGTGATAGTGCACATTCAAGTTTCTATAAGAAAAATAGTTCTCAATGGAATAAGTATTCTAAAAAAATTCTCCATGAAGTAAAAAATTAGTAGGAGCAGGACCAACGTTCTTGACGCGGAGTTTTTCATATCACTGTCTGTATCAATCTATTCCTCCATCCTTTGACCCACGCCAAGGACGTTGGTCCTACTCCTACTGATTTTTTATTTCATCGGAATTTCTTTAGAATACTTATTCCATTGAGAACTATTTTTCTTATAGAAACCTGAATGTGCACTATCACCATTTATTCAAAATTCCTAACTTGGCTTCCTTTTTTATTTCTATGTATTTTTCAAAAACTTCGATTTCCCAGTAGGAATCAAACAAAACTTTTTCTTGGCCCAGTTTTTTTACATTATTGTATCATCTTCGAAACATACGGAAAAATCAGACGAGTATTATTAATAAACGCCTTGTTTACTGAGTGGAACTTTACGCACTTGTAGTATAACATAGTGTTAAATTGAAGCTTCTTCAATTGATTATAAGCTCGAAATAAATGAAAAGAGTATAAAATAAAAAAAAACGTTCGCGGAACACGACATGAGATGAAAGAGTATCGGAATGAAAAGAGACGATCGTACATGAAGATAGTTGAAGGAGAGAGGAGAGGAACAAATACGCAACGATCCTATCAGGGTCTTTCAACTCTATACCAAAAATCGAAGCTCGGGGGAGGGGCTGAAATAGTGCAAAATAGTACGCGCAGGCACAGTAATATACAGTGTGGAAAATGAGCTTAGAGGCGGTGGGGTTCATTAAACATAAAAACTCGAATCCTTTATAACAAAAAAAAATTTTCAAACAAAATTGGGAAGTAAGTGATGACAAATATTTCTTTAGTAAAATTAATGCGAGAATAAAATATATATCAAGAGATTTTAAGGAATGTCTCCGAATCTTTCTTAAATCTTGACGTATAATCTAAATAAATAATCTAAATAAATGAATAACGATATAGAAGATGAAAACAATTTATTATGATAAATTATCGATCATATTCAAAACACAAACAATAAATGTAGAATGAATGTACGTGAAAAAGATAACTGCACGTGAATAAGAGAATGTCTAATTGATTTCAATCCTACGTCCAACTTGACCCATCTAACGATAATTCTCATGCATGAATGTGAACAATATAACATGTCATCTACCAACCCAATCAGCCTCTTTTGAAAATCAACAGATCCGAAAGTCCCCATTATATTGCCCGGGTTCTTTTGAAATAAATGTCTGGAAACACAGCAAACGCAAACTAAGAAATTATTGAATAAGTAGAGTAAACTATTTTCAAAGTAGAAAAAGCTATTTTCAGGATAGAATAGTCCGTTTTTCTATAGAAATGAGTTCTGAATGAAAATTGAATTGTTAGAATGAATCAATTAATTATTGGAATTGCTAGAATGAAGATTATTGGGATTGCTAGAATATTATTATTCAATTACGATTCAATTAGTTTTCATTGTAAATATTTCCAAACAACAACGTTTATTGGAAATTGTCATAAGACTCGGCATCCCGGTTTAATGTCATTTTTCGATGAGACTTATTGCTTAGGAGATAGGAGATATGTAGGAAATATGAATTAGGTGAATTTTTTGTAGATTTTTTGGCTCATACGTATGAATTTCAATTTTGTTTGTTCATAATCAGTGTAATGATTAAATGATGAGCTTTAAAATGGAGTTTGGTCTTGAAATAATGAGTCAAAGACTGGGAAGTTCTAGGGTGCGACAGTCGATCGGAGTTGGCCAGTAAATTCCAAGTATTGGTATCGGCTGCTCTGAGGATGATTTTCTCCTCAATGAGGGAGTCAATCATCTCCTGTTCGTCGTTGAGTGTATACCTTGGGCCAGACCCTGTTTCTCTCTTCTTCTTCAGTGGCTTCCTCATTGAGGATCTTCGTGAAGATCCCCAGAAATTTGAGTCATCACTGTCCTCAGAGTCCTGGAAGCAGGAACTGAGAACTGGGACCTGAGAGCTGGGACCTGGTTGGGGCTCATTGCTTTGGATATTCTTGAATCTCCAAAAATCCTCATCATTACTGTCCTCAGAGTCCTGGACGAAAGAATTGGGACTTGGGAACTTGGGAGCTGGGATCTGGGAAATGAGAACTGGAACCTGAGAACTGGGACCTGGCTGGGGCTCATTGCTCTCCTTTGAATTTCCTTCATTTTGGACCTTTTCACTTTCCTCCCCCTCTCCACTTTGCTCTATATTTATATTAATATTGATGGAATTAGTGTTGAAATAGATAGGATAGGACAGGACAAAGTGGAAGGGTGGGGTAAAAGGGTTCATTATTTCAGTCTTTTGAGCCCGTGTTGGTCTAACCACAAAGGGAGACTAGCCACCAACATCAGCAGCACGATGGAAAAACTAAAAAACGTTATAAAAAAGTTGTTCACTTGTTGTTCCACTTGTTTCATCCTCACGTATAAAAAAATTCCATAGAAAATCCAAGCAAAGGTTTAGGTTTAGCGAATCCGCTAAACAACTCTATTAGATTTCGATTGAACTTTTTGTTAGTTTCTGGCCGTTTCTGTTGGAATGTTCAATGGAAAATATCATAGACAAATTCAATGGGATTCTGTTTTTCTATACAACTCATTCGATTGAGATATTTTCTATATGATTTCCTCGACTTAAATTTTATAATTTTTCTTTCATTCTATTGTTTTTTCCTTTTCATCCTAAAATAGAAATGGCCAAAAAGTCATAAAAAATTGAATAGGAATTCAATAGAATTGTCTAGAAGATTCGGTCTTTTATGAACTTTCGTTCATGCACAAAATTTAATAGAAAAACCTAGTTAATTTGCTAGACAATTCTAGTGGATTTGAACATATGCTTTCTATAAGTTATTCGCCATTTCTATTGACATGTTCAGTAGAAACTATTGTATAGGAAGAGTCAATGGAATTCGATTTTCCTATACAACTTATTCCATTAACATATTTTCTATAGAATTTATTCGGCTCAAATTTTCTAAGCTTTTTTGTTTGATTTTATTGATGGAAAGAAAAGAAGAATATAAGGAATAAATCGTAGCCAATTCGAGCCGAGAAAATTGTATCATGCCTGCTCGTCTACGCAAATACATAGTCAAATAAATGAATAAATAAATAAATGAAGAGGTAAATAAATGAATCGATAATGAGTAAATATTCTTAATTTAAGACTAGACACGTACGAAAGATTTTTATAGAACGACTGCTAGGTTTTTCACGCTAACAAAAAAACAGAGAGAAAGATAAAATGCATACTCAGGAGTGTTTATATGAAACATATCGATAGAATAAATTCTCTAAAGAGATCAAAATCCCACCCACTCGCGAGTTGGAATACGATTATAGTGCGGTGGAGTTTGACACTCACAACCCGGCACGATGCACTTCGACTTTTTGGACTTGCTTGGGTTCCCGGACATCTCGATAATGCAGAGAAAATACTCAGCATTACTCCTATGCTACCAAAATCAACACTCAAACTCCGAGATTCCCATAGTGTTTATTCAAAAATCATCAAGTTGACATTGGAAACCATTGAAAATCGTAACTTGAACATTGCCGCCCAAAAGTGAAGATATTTCAGGACTGCGCCTGCGCGTAAGGCTGGTGGCGACCTCAACAGCAGCATTTTATTCTATTTTAGCCCCTCCCCCGAGCTTCAATTTTTGGCATAGAATTGAAAGACCCTGGTTCCCATTTGAACTGGGATATTCAGAGGTTTCATAGGCCTCTGACCTCCATTGACGCGACACCAATTTCGCCTGAGTTTTACCTCATTATGGCACCACTATTGACAACAACTGTCATATATATAGTTATCGAGAATCCCAATCTTAGCAAATATGTTAACATTACATGATTGTGCAGATGATTGAGCATTCACTTCCTCTACTCCTTTTCTGACTATCGATCCTAATCTTATTTCTCAAATACGCTAGTTCTTCTGTGAAATATGCATGTTTCATGCGTTCAAAACTGTTCCAGACCCCGCCATACTCTTCAACCATACGGAAAAATGGAAGCTTGAGAGGAGAGGGCTATGCCTTCGAAGTGCTTGATTTGATAGCAAAAAAATTGGACATATCGTACGAAATTGTGCAGCCCAGAACACCAGGTTTAGGGAATGAATCGGCAGGTCTTATAAGTCTGCTAAAAAGCAAGGTAAGTTTTTTTACTCTTTGATAGCAAAAATATGAAATGTAGATGAAAAGTATAACATATTAAAAGTGGTAATATCATCACTTTAGAAGAAGTAATAATAGTAATCCCATAATAACAGGAATTCCTGTGGAAAAATCGTAAGATAAGTTCCGATATTCCCTATTAAAAAATCATTCACTAGGAAAAGTTATGGGAAATGTAATTTCTTGCAGGAAAAAGTCTCTAGGGTAATACGACGATCAGAGCTCTAGATTTCTGTGGATAAAAATTTTCTGAATCAACATGTTAAAAGGATCAAGCAGTAAAAATTCCCAATTTGAGATTTTGAAATGGGCGATATTGCCGTTAGTCTGAAGAAGATACTACTCCGCTTACCTATATGATTTAATATACAGAATCGAACCATTTCGACGAGTTATTAACGGGAAAAATGATATTAAATCTCGGTTATAAAAAATCGAATTAATACGGATGTTACCGCTACACTTTTTTGGTAGGTGGTCTGCATGTACGGGATGCTTCGCATTACTCTGCTTTAGCTTCTGCAGGCATGAATTCAATTGGGAATTCTCAAATAAAAATATACATTATAAAAAAATTATTTAAAGACTAGTGAGGTAATAATTAAACGTCCAGCTCATATCATAACCCAGGATTCATGACGTGGACAGCAAGTAATTCTGTTCTAGTGACACAATAGTTTTTCTCAACATTATTTAAGCATTTGCTAAAATGGCCGATTACTTTCTCTTGTCCATATTGGATTTGTGAGAGAGCAGCACCGATAGTAAATTGAGAAGCATCGGTATCAAGCATGAATTTACCATATCTAATTGATAAGCAAAGAATCGCAGGAGTTATGACAAGAGACTTGAGTTGATTGTGACACAGGGGATATTATTTTCCCTTCGCGTCGGCACGATCCTACCCTTGGACTCGGTTATCTCGCGAGCTGCCCTAGTCTAGTTATACGAATAATTATCATTAGTTGTAATTATTTATTAATTAACTGTCTGCGCCAGCAGAATTAATCGACAACTTTATCCGACTGTGCATTCAAATCACGCCGCCATCTTTATCAGTCGACATCGGGCCCAATGGCCAAAATTATCGACACTTACTGGCACTTGCGCAAACGAAGGGCGCAACAAGTCGACGGCATGGCACTCTCGCCCTGGCAGCACTCGTGTGCACATCTAATTTTTGCAATATTTGTGATATCTGTTGTTTGTCATTTATTAAGTGGAAAGAGTCGATAACCGAGGACATTTAGTAATAAATTGTGATTTGTCGAATTAATCGAGTAAGTACTTATTTAAATTGTCTTTTGCCTATATTTTCCTCTCTCTCTCTCTCTCTTTGTCGTCTTCTTAATTCTATGGGTCTTCCAACCTCCACTCCCTGAGCCGAGTCGACCGTTGTTAGTATCCGTCAAACTAACTGGCGCCCAATTAATATTTCATTATTGTCGAATAAATAAAATAATTGTCGAAAGGATTTCTGGAGCCCTGACAGCCCTTGACCCAGGCCGCGTCAGGTGAAGGCCGTTAACTGTTAATTAAATTGTCGAGTCTACCAGTTGTTTAGTCGAGTGAATTTGTTTATTAATATATTTATTTATTTAAAATAAAAAGGCCTGTCTCANTAATTCTATGGGTCTTCCAACCTCCACTCCCTGAGCCGAGTCGACCGTTGTTAGTATCCGTCAAACTAACTGGCGCCCAATTAATATTTCATTATTATCGAATAAATAAAATAATTGTCGAAAGGATTTCTGGAGCCCTGACAGCCCTTGACCCAGGCCGCCTCAGGTGAAGGCCGTTAACTGTTAATTAAATTGTCGAGTCTACCAGTTGTTTAGTCGAGTGAATTTGTTTATTAATATATTTATTTATTTAAAATAAAAAGGCCTGTCTCAATTGCGCCCAACGTGGGGCCCGTGGGACATTTTTTTTATGTAAAATTCTGTTGAAAATTGATTGTATCGAGCAATTTTATTCGGAAATTTTCTTTTGCTGTGTGTTAGAGAGAGACGGTCGAGTCACTTATTTCGATGCTTGGTGATACAACCGAGCGCCAATGTTTACTTTAACACAATAGAGTACGCGGCAAGGGATTATTGAGTATACTCCCTTCCCCTTTCTTTCTTTCTTTCTACTCTACCTTCGCTCTCTAAATTCTTACTTTTCTTGTAATATTAAGACTGAATATATATATATTTATGTATGTGTATAAACTGTTATGTCATTTTTGTCGACTTTTCCACAAGAGAATTAGAACTTATTCGGTGATTTCATCCGTCTGTTTTCGAAATCATCGTACTTGAAAATCGATTGGGGAACAGCCGTGACCTTGCCCGTCTGTAGTTGAGGCGCGGTGCAAGACTCAGTCGAAGAGATTATAATTATTTACGGATTTAAAACTACTCAATTTTTGTCGAAATTTTTTCCGAAAAATATCGAATTGTCTTATTTGGTTGTCGATTAAATCGATACAAAATAATATCCTTGGCTGATCGTCCAAATTAATATGCGATATCGCGATGTTTACCACTCCGCCCAGGAATAAGAACAGCACCAACACCGCCAGTACGGGTCGATTAACGAGATCAAATTTAAACAAAATCATGACATTAGACCCAGGACAAACGGGCGGTACAGAAAATCAGGTAGATCCTGCCGCGAGCACGTCAGGTGATACGGGGGTAGATACGCGAGTAATAACACCTAATCTGACACTTTTATCCCGCGAAAGGGTACCCACCCCTTTAATGAGTGCTAGGGGGAGGGGTTATCGAATAACCCCTACAATTCCAACCCCAGTTCCGAGTGAATCGGAATCGCTTCAAGCAATTCACGCGAGATTGGATAAAGTCGAGAGTTTTAGAAACGAAATTGAGAGTTTAAATTCTAAATTTGATCGAATTATGAATTTTATTGTCGGGCAGAGTCAAGACATATTAGAATCGACGGATGGGCGTTCCCGTCGACAGGAGAATAATTCTAATAAAGATAATACGAATGATAATTTGAATGAAAACGAATCTGATGGGACTCCCCCGAGGGTTGACGAACCAAGAGGGGGAGAGAACGATTTACCGAGCGGTGAAAGAATATCGCGAGATGTTGATGAGAATTTAGTCGAAGAAAATTCTGAAAATTTTGAGGGCCCGACTTTGCCACGTGGCTCAGCCCCGTCTGAGGGAGGGGTACATGGAGCAACAGTCGATGATGGATTACGCGCGAACGTACCTCCGCAAGGAAGGGGGGGGAGCGTTTGTGCCTGTGGGGACAGATATTCGGGGCGGAACGTCTGGACTCCAACCCGAGCATTTGTTCAATCGAGGGAATGGTTCTGTTGATAGCGAGATTCGACATGTTCACTTCGCCTCAAATGATAACTCATACTCGACTTCTCAAAGAAGTCGAGAGAAAAGTCAAATTTCTTTTGTATCGCCGGATGGTCAGATAATTGTCGAGGAGCGTCACGTAGACGCTAATGAGTTTCGACGGTTTTCTGCGAATCCAGCAGGTATCAATTTGGGTTACCAAACTACACGTTATACACAGCCACAAACACAAACACAATTACAAGCACAACCACAATATACGAACCATCTTAATACGAATCTATCCCACTCTCCATTTCGTACTATTGAATCGAATAATAGGACAGGAAGGGGTAGTCTTTCACTCGACGAATACACGTCGAATAATCTAGATACAGGGAATTTTCAGGAAACCCTGCCGGTCAATCCACCGTCGACTGGAATAAATCAACCATGGGATATGAGCACCGGAATTAAGGTTACGCAATTAGTTAGCGATTGGAAACTTAATTTCCCGCAAAGTGAAAAAGATCCTGATCAATTCCTACTCATATTAATGGAACGACTTGAAACCACCGGAATAAATAAAGATCTATTCGTCCCTTGCTTATCGTCTATTTTCAAAGGTTCACATCGAAACTGGTATCTAATCAATAAGTCGAAATGGCGAACTTGGAAAGAGTTCGCAACCGCATTTCGACAAAATTGGGCTGTGAAAAAAGACGACATGGATTTGTATACCGAGGTGGGAGAATTAACAGTCGAAAAGGGGGAAACCCTACCAGAATTCACGTATCGCGCTCGTTTTCTTTTCGAACGTATGTTAAATCCTCCCACGTTTAAAAACAAATCGAACAAATTATCAAGAAATTTAACCCTAGAATCACGCTCGAGATTTTGCCATTGACTATTAAAAATTACGACGACTTTCTGGGTTTTGCTAATTTACGTGGCGACGTCTTCAAACAAGTCGTCGATCAGAAAAAGGGGAGGTTTACTAGAAAGAAAGTCGAATTAAACTGCATTCAAGACGAAGATCCCACGGATGAAGATGATGACGCTACATCACGTGACGAATTGTCTGATAAAGAAGAAGTTACACAATTGAATGCGTTAGAATCGAAAACTCGGTCAGTCCCCAATCAATCGAAAAGTCGAGAATCGAAGTCGATGGTACGGAAAAGACTCGAACAAAATCTCGCAAACTTTGAACAGAAAAACAAAGAAAGCAATAAATCGCCTGCCCAGCACGATCCTAGAGGAAGACGAAAATTCGATTCCCCTAGAGACTGGTCGAAAGTACTATGTTATAACTGTGGACAGATGGGACATTCTTCGCGCGTATGTACTGCCGAGGGGCAGGAAGTGTGTCACATTTGCCAACAATTGTGACACTTGAATAAGAACTGCCGTAAGCTTTCGGGAAACGTGACAAGCTCTCAGTGAAATCACCTCCGATCACTGAAATAAAGAGCGAAACGGAGAGAAAACAGGTCGATCGTGCTGCACAGACGAAAGTAAAAATTGAGGGGACTGATATTAAAATAAACGAGGTAAAGACACTGGAAAGTCCACCAGTTAAAGTCGAATTATCCCCTCTGTTACATATGAGTGACAGTAAACTTGAGGGGGAATCAAGTATTTTGCTAGATGTCGATGAAGAGACCTCGGA